AGACCTCTCGAAGACGATCCACTTACCCCCCAAAGAATCTGGCACCATGCCATGACATGCTGTGCGGTGTTGTGTTCTGCGCCGCTGTGCGATACCATACTCTGTGATGCAATGCTTCACTGCGCAACGCCACGCAATGCTATGGCATGCTACGCTCTACCGTGCTCTTCTACGCAATGCCATGCCATGCTCTACCATGCACCGCGTACCCTCTCGCGATCATTGCCCTGCTCGACATCCGACTGTGCGAATAGAGAGGATCTCTACGCGATGGAAGGCATGGGAGGGAGGGGTAGGACGTCAGATATGACGCGACCGCACCTGGCTTGTCGCCCTCCCCCTCCTCCTCCTCCTCCTCCTCCTCCTCCTCCTCCTCCTCCTCCTCCTCCTCCTCCTCCTCCTCCTCTCCAACCTCATCCTCATCCTCCATCATCCTCCTCCTCCTCCTCCTCCTCCTCCCCCTCCTCCTCCTCCTCCTCTCCTCCTCCCCCTCCTCCTCCTGCTGGCCACGTGGGCCCTGGCCCGAACCTCCGCCGCGCGGCGGCGCGGAAGTCCACGACCGCCACGCTCAGGTTGTCGGGGTTGTCGACGACCTGCGGCGCGGGGGCTCGGGCGGGCGGCCATTGGCGACCTCCTTCGCGAGGACCGCCCCAAGCCGACCCACGAGGCGCCCAACCCAGACCCCCTCGCGTTGTGACAGAGATCGCGACGGGAGGCGGTGTTTCGCTGCTTTCGGCCTCCGGGGGCCCTCACTGGGCCTCGGGGCCGTCAAAAAACGACTCGGGATGCAAAGCCGGTCCCGAGGAAGGGGTCCGGATCTCTGGGGGTCGCGCCATGAAAGAATCGTGACGTCGGGGGTCTGGGCATGAGGCCCCCAAGACGGCCCCCAGACGGGCCAAAAGTGGGCCCCAGGGCGGCCCAACAGGGCAGCCAGATCGCCCCACCCCCCCCACGGGGGCTTTTGTTTGGGGTTCCAGGAGGCTGTGACAGAGAAGAGGCCCTGGAGCCTGCTTGGGCCCTCCTTTCGGTGCGAGGCTCGGGGGCTTATCCGTCCCCGCCGCCTGGGGGATTGATCTCAGGGGGCCTCGGCAGGCGATGGATATTGCTTTACAGATATGTATGCATGCTGAGTGCAGGTATATGTGTGTAGACGTAATGTTCGCCAGCGTGGACCCCAAACAGCGAGCTTCCAGCCATATAGGTTGTGCCACATATCTGGAGCAAACTATGTGGTGCAATATGTGTGGTGCAATATCTGTGGTGTCGGTGTGGGTGGGTGGAGTGAAGAAGACGGGAAGACGACAGGAGGGCGCGGGAGCAGGAGCTGTTCGCGACATCATGGCGTTATGGTTGGTTCGTGTCGTGACGATCCAGGCGTTGGTTTCTCACAATGCGTGGACCGCTCAACCTTGAACGATCGGCGGCTTTCCGATCGCCGATTCGTTCCATGTCGGAGGACTCTGGGCCACAGGCGGCGTTCAGCCCCTGAACACTCGTGGCGGGGCCGCCGCCGCATCGACGCAACGCGAACCTCCCCTGCCCGGGATGTGCGGGAAGAGCTCGCGGCACGAGCGCGCGCGCGGCGCACCGTGCGGATGCCAGGACCACGGCTGAGCCTGAGCCTGAAGCTGAAGCGCGAGGAGGAAGGAGAGGATGAGACGGGCAAGCTAGGTGCGCTACCTCTCCCCCCTCCCATCCATCCCTTCCCATCACGCCGATTGCTTCTCTATTCGCCGACAGGTGTCCTAGACCTGGATCCCCCAAATGACCCCCATCGTGCGATGCACAGTGGGACAGGGGAGCTGTACACATTGGAGGAGGAAGATGAGGAGGGGGAGGCGGATGAGCAGGAGGATGAGCAGGATAGAGAGGAGCAGGAGGAGGAGCAAGGAGGATGAGCAGCTGCGGGAGCAGGAGTAAGAGGAGCGGGAGAAGCAGGAGGCACAAGGAACAACGACCAGGAAGGAGACGGATCCAGAAATAGTGCCCGCGCTGGGGCGAGAGAGCGCCATCCTGAACGACGGGGTCCAAGCGCCGACCCTTAAATGAGGTCATCGCTGCAGCGGGGACACCCTTTTGAGGAACCAAAAAAACGAAACCAACCCTATGGCGGGCTCCAGGAACCCTGAACCCAATCACCTTGCCATCTCTTGGGAGGCCGATGTTTAATTACCTCCGCCAGCATCCGCCACCCTCCGCTGCTTCCGCCGGCAGATGCGGCCTCATCCTACTTCTTCTGGCTTCCGCCGCCCTTCCGCCACACTTCCGCCGAGGAAGACTCAGTGGCAACTCAAGGGAGCCTCCCATACCATCTTGTCGGCTCTTGCGATGGTAAATCGACGTTCATCGACGCTACATCGACGCTAGTCGACGCACATCGACGCTAAATCGGCACTATATCATCGACTCCCAGACGCTAATCGACGCTAATCGACGCGAGATACAGAATTACGAGGGTGCACAAGGCTCCCATGATTTGCTACCAAAGAGACGTTAAGGTCGGGCGTGTCCCCCTGAGGGCGGACTTTAGATGAAAAGTGACAAATCATCATTGCTTTAAGGAGGACTCAAGCATAGTCGAAAAATCGTCCCTCTGGCCCCGCACCAAAAAAAAACGAGGAGAGAGACAGCGAGCAGCACTCCCATGGCGGCGCGCCCAGGGGGGGGCCCATCGGTCGGACAGAAGAAGCATGCAGAAGCACGAGGCAGGGAGGCGTGGAGAGCAGATTGAGCTCCGCCCGCCCCTCCAACAAGAGGACGGAGAGGGCGAAGCCACTCGAGCACTGAAAGCAGGGAGGCGCTGAGAGCAGACTGGGACCGGGGAATCCAAAGATGCCCACTTTCAACGACCGATGGGCACAGTCGACCCGCAGCAGAAGCATGCGCGACAAGGATGCAAGGGCCCCGGACGCTCGCTTCGAGGCTCCTCCAGCGCGGCGGGGCCCACGAATGTGGCCCCAAGGCTGGACCGAGGAGGCGAGGATGCAAGGGCACCCTTGTCGGGCGTTGGCAGAACTGGGTTTAGTGGGACCTGGTTTAGCGATGTGTACTTGGGGGACGCTCCCACCCCACCCCGTTCCACTAACCGGAACTGCCGTCACCCGAAAAAACACCAGCTACGGCAGACCTGGTCTAGTGATTCTGGCCAATTTAGGGGCTTCAGGGCCCTAATACTAACCAGGTCCCCTTACCCCGGGTCCTGGATATACCCGACCTCGGGAAGGTTGCCCATCCGTACCATGCGGGTTGACTGTAGGGGCAGGGGGTAAGGCTTCTTCGAAGGAGGCTGCTTCTTAGAAGGCGCCGGCCTCACATCTAAAGACAAGGCCCGCGCATCCTGAGAAGCAGGGTGCTTCGAAGAAGCCTTCTCCCCTCGCCCATACCTCCCTCTGCGCGTGGCTGGCTCATGCCGAGTACCCTCAAAACTGATAGTAATGATGACCGATAAGGATGCAAAGGCCTTGGACGCCCATGCCGAAGCTTTTCGAGCGGGGCTGGTCATCGAGAGTGGTTGA